CGGAAAAATTCCGTTAACTTTTATTACTACGCTATCTGTATCTTCTAAGATTATATTATTTGGATGTTAAGTGGCTAGCTGAGTTAATGAGTGGATGAAAACTGGATTGATGGAACTTGATAAGCTTTAAGTTGGTGTAAATAAAGGTTAGTTTAAACTTTATACTTGACATTTGCTATTTTTAAAACTCTAATAATTAAAATAAATCGAGCGCTCTATAAGAAACATATTGCTGGGCGAAATAGCTTCAATCTAAATTTGAATTTTGTACATTAGCTTCTAATCTAAGAAAATTAATCACGTTAAATAAAATTATTCGATGAAATTATAAGTCATCTAATGAGTTATTTTATTCATTCAAGAATAAATTACAGTCTCGACAGTAGATTGTTCGAGTCATGATCTTAAGAAATGGTAAGCTTATTAAAGTTTTCGGTAAATTATTAAGCTTAGTAAGCGTGATACTTGCAAAAAGACTTTTCAAAGTTCAGTTTATATCGAATGAAGGCACTATCTCTTATGAAACAGATGGTTTCTTTTATTCGCAAATAAATTATTTCCTATGCAATGCTACATGGAATTTTGGAATTCGGTGAAATATAATAGGGAACGCTGTTATCAAATTTTTTTTCGGTTTAGTAATTAATATCTTATAAAGGATTATTCCTATAAAAGTGTACTAGACGCTTGTGCTCAGAATTTTAAGAAATAACTTTTAAACAGAGCTCCATTTGCACTGTGGTATAATAATGCAAAATATTCTTCTGTGCAACTGTGAATTCCACGATAGTAGTATAATTTTACGGGTTCTGGAACAGTTGAGTTGTTTTGCTCCTGCTGCATGGGAGTTCTGGAACCGTTGAGTTGTTTGTTCCTGCTTCTTGACGCGAGTGACGTCAGAGACCACGCCCCTTTTTAGAGTTGAGTTGTTTTCTGCTGGTTATTTTAGCGGAAATGAATGACGTCATAAAGGCATATACTCATTTCCTAGTTTAGTTGTTTTACGATAGCTTCTATACCGGAAATGACATCACATCGGTCATCGTATGTTTTTCGTTAATTATAATTCTGGTGTATGGAAACAATAGGACTTAATGAAATTTTACTTTGGAACAATACTGCTCTTGCGCTATAATTAAACATTTCAATAAATAAAATGTGTCATTATAGCTATTGAAAGCGTCATTGAAGCAAATACATTTTAATTATTATTAATATAAATTTATATAAATTATATGAATATGAATTATAATTGAATTATAATTTGAATTGTATTCGAATATAAAAGAATTCAGCGGTGGCATGACGCCATTACTTTTGCGGTGGAGCATGACGTAATTACTTTTGCGGTGGAGCATAACGTCACTGTTTTGCGGTGGAGCAAACGATGGAGAATGACGTCATTGTTTTGCGGTGGAGCAAGCGATGGAGAACGGCGGCATTCATTGTTTTAGCGGTGGAGCACAAGGTTATTACTTTAGCGGTGGAGCATGACGTCATTGTTTTGCGGTGGAGCAAGAGGTTAATGTTTTAGCGGCAGCGATTGATGTTATTATTTTTGCGGTGGAGCAAGCGACGGAGAATGACGTCATGATTTTTGCGGTGGAGCACAAGGTTATTACTTTAGCGGTGGAGCATGACGTCATTGTTTTGCGGTGGAGCAAGAGGTTAATGTTTTAGCGGCAGAGATTGATGTTATTATTTTTGCGGTGGAGCAAGTGGTAGAGAATGATGCCATTTTTTTAGCGGTGGAGATTAACGCCATTATTTTTGCGGTGGAGCAAGCTGGGGAGAATGAGATCATTGTTTTAACGGCGGAGGACGATATGATTCATTCTGCGGTGGAGCAAAGTTTTCAGCGTACAGATGCTCTGAGAAATGACGTCATGGATTTAGAGCGGTGGAGCAAAGTCTTCCAGTAAGAAATTCATCGCGACGTCATGAGGGTTTTGTCTGAACATGTTATGCTTCTAAATGACGTCATTGCTTTTGCGGTGGAGAACCTTTTCCTAGCTGAGAGGGTTTCTGAAGATCGATAACATCATTTAGCGGTGGAGCATACCTTTGGTGCAGATTGGGAAAGAAACTCTTACCCCGCCCCAGGGAAAATAGAAACTGTTGAAATTGTGCACGTAGCCCTTTGTGACGTCATGAAGGCTTTTCTGAATATAGTACATTGCTTTGTTCTCCCTTTCTTTAAACAGGTGCATAAAAATAAAAGAATAAAAGAATGGTCCTCAGCTAGTCCCTAGCATGAAAGAATAACCAATGTAAAGTATTATAAAAAAATTTTTAAACTATCTTGAAGAAAAATTACTGATTTGTATAATATTCTATTTTTCGACGTGGAAAAGGAATTAAAGCTCTATTAAGAAGCGCAAGTTAAGTGTGTTGTGTTAATAATAAAAAGATAACCAAAAAATAATAAGATATTATTTCTTTTATTCATATTTCAAATACCAATTAATGTTACAAACCTTTTCTTTTTTTGTTCACAATTTCAACCACCTTTTTGAGGATAGTTTCTTTTTGGTTATTTTAGGTCTAGCATACATAGTTTTTGTAATCAGTAAATGCTTATTTTTTATAAATTCTTTAGGAAAGTTGTTTATATTTAGCATTTCTTTAAATTGTTCGAAGGCAGCAGGCCTTCGAGCTATATTTCTTAACAGAAAATTTATGAGTTGTACAATATTTGAGCCAGGAAACACGCGTTACCATCCAGTATCAGTTCTTTGTTCGGCGTCCAAGAAACCTGATGTTGTTTTAAAAAATTTATTATTTTCTCTGCAGTTGTTTTCTGTTTGACAGGAACTGCCTTAATGATTTCCTTTTCTATATCAAAACGTCTCTCAGAAGATTGTTCGAGAGGTTCTACTTCAGAAACTTTGACAGCATTAACGTTAGGAAACGTTCACATATTTTTGTAAAACCTGTATGTACATCTTTGCCTTTTCCTCATCGTCCATTTTCCTTTTTAAGATATGTTGAATCTGAGAATCTAAATCACTCACATGTTCATCCTCAAAATGCTGCATGCGATCCAGGGGTACCAAAGCAAATTTCTTACTATGTTCCATGGATTAACGATGATAAGGCGCTTACGGCTGCTGGAATGAGAAGCGATAAAAAGCCGTCGCCCTTTTGAACTAAGAGACGTCTTTTCTTAAAAAGAGGTAATTTTTTATCAGCTAATTTTCTTAAGATTCTTTTAAAAGGAGAGATTCGATTTTTGGTGCGTTTATTGATGGGAATGTTTCCTTTTAAAAGATTTAACACACATTCACAAACGGATTTGATGAGATAGTTGGGACACTTTTTTAGAACAGCTGCTTTTGTTCGACTTTTTCCTAAGAGCTTTAGATAATCTACATCCTTCTGATGAGACATTCTGAACGTAAATGAATTCTCCTTACTGCATACTTTCTTTTATAAAGGTTGCAAAACCGGCGGCTTTGGTTAAGGCACAGCAGTTAAATCCAGAAGAATGATACGAGCATATTAATGAACGTTTTTCTTTCTAAATTTTCTATTTTGGGGCTTTCCAAACTTATAATGTCTCGACATAACAGATTTTCTAAAAATTTTTTCTTTTCCAAACCTTTCACATATATGTCAGAATAAACTGATGATAAGTACTGTAAAATAATACGAAGCATGGTATAAGGTAGAATACCATCATTCCAACTCAAATTATGGCGATTTCTAATCACCCATGAAAAACACTTTTGTTGAGGGGAGCGACAATTTTTCCCATGAATGAGGGGGTAGAAATGACCAGCAGGCATGATGTCCTTCATGTACGGAGAAAAATGCCAATTCTTTCACAATGTAACAATGAGGCTTCAGTTGAAAGCCTTCGAAGTCAATAACGATTCTAGAAGACATGTTAACAGCTCGACGTCAAGTGACATTAAGGGACTTAGCGAGGCTTATCTCCTGGAAATATACCACTGCGCAGACGCAAACTTTCGTTTGTTTCAGGTCGTAAATCTATTAGCAAATAACTGAAAGGAGACAAAGTAGCATCCTGAAAGATTTCTTGAAAGGCCTTCAGTTTCCCTGGAAACATTTGTCTAGCTAAATGCATGATTTGACTTTTATCTCTAGGATTTTTTATATATGACAATGTAATGCGAATTTAAGTGGATATTTCGCATCTCTTTGCCTTGATGAAAAAGGTTTTGCGTTATAAAGATAACTGAGAGTTTTCGGTGGTGACTTCCTTTTGTAAAAAGCTTGCTTAAACGGGTATCGCTTGCTAGCTCAGACATTAAATCGTCTATAATAATTAAAGCATTTTGTAATGATTGGAGATTAGAGGGCAGTCCTTCTTCAAATTTTACATTTTTTTATTGAATTGAAAAGCGGCTGATAACTTCCATAGCAATAAACTATATTTAACGGCATAGGATCAAACATTTGGTGGTCTATCAATTTCTTAACAAAAATAGTTTTTCCGGAACCCGTAGGACCGCTGATGAGACAAGTAGAAGGATGGACTAACTTAGGCAGTTCCATCTTTTGAATGATAACTGTAAATAAATGTTTTGATATTTATACTTTACACAAAATCTGCTGCTTTAAGTTGTCACAGTGTTCGCTCTTATGATTCTTTGTGAATTACCTCAACACTTTTATAGAAGCCTTTCTACATAAATATTTTACGTACTAAAGGTGTGGGCTTCCCTTTTCTTTTATCGAAGCTCGAATAAACGAAAAGGGAAATGGCAGCTCCGTAATGACAGAATAAAAAGAAAATGTGAAATATATATATATATATATATATAAAGGAGAGAAAGCACATACACATAATTCTTTAAAAAAAAAGAACAAAAAATGGTTTATTTTCTAAAAAGCATGTTTACACCATATCGTTTTTTGACAAACTGAAATATTCGAAAATCACTTTTCCTTCCGGCTAACTGCGATACAATTACTTTCATACAGAAGCCTTGACATCGTTTTATAATGAAATAAATACAATATTGTCCACATACATTAGAAGTCAGACTTTGAAAAGAAGTCTTGTTCCAATGAACATTATGATATTTCTTGACAAATTTGGTTATATCTTCTCCGTATGCTTCAGGGGGAAGTCCATAAGAATCAAAAAATTCAAGAGTTTGCTTGTTTATAACATAGACAGCAAGCCAGTGAGTGCCTTCTTTATCATGCTTGTCAGTGTTTAGCACCAAAGCGCAAGGGAAATTTTGAATTACAGGTATTTTGTCACAAGGAAAAACACCCGCATAACATCTCAGAGAAACAGGATCTCTAGATAAGATGTGATGAATCTCTGATGAATTCATCAGTTTCCAAAGTCATAAAGAATATTTCGAGCTTTATTAATTTCTATTAAATTTTCAAATTCAGCATACACTATTAAAGAAACAGTTTGCTGTAAGGGAGTGCCAAATTTTATTTCTAATCTTAAGTTGCTATGCCGAACGAGATTTAAATAGGAACCATCACACAAGTCGTGTGACAAATCAAAGCGAAATAAAGAATATCCCTCTGAAAATTCTGATCGCGAAAGATAAAGACCCTTGTCTTCCGCATTTATAAATAAATTGTGATAAGCTCGTATAAATTGATTTTTATCAAAATTCGGTTGTAGTGGATTATGAGGCACAGGTTGACCGTCTATATAAACTCCAATAAAGTTAATATTATAATGTTTAAACTCGAAAGGAGACTTTTTATAGTTTCCGTTAAATGCATCATTATCAATACATGCCACCACAATACGATTAGGCATTTGTCCTATGAAAATATTGTCTTGAACAAAACTCATGTTTCCTGTGGGAATGGAATACGCTTTGCAGAGCACTCTATTAATTGGATATTTGGCTGTTGATTTTTCTAAGGCTTTTGCATGCCCTAGAACAACACCAGGACTGACTCTCACTTTTCTTACAAATAAAGAGGCATTTTCAAGTAGAACTTTAAATTCACCAGCACCCAGTAAACAGAATTCAGGCTTACTGCGTATGAGTTTAATTTTCATATCCACCATATTCAATAAGAGCCTTTCTTGATGAAACATATCCAAATGTAACCGGCCAATCATATCGACCGAGGCACTCAGCTTAAACATTTCAGCTCTTTGGATGAATCCTTCATTAGGGTGAGAATCTTTAAGATCAAAAACATTCATTCGACCTGCTGTATCTTTAAAAAACATTTCTGATGAAAGCTGAGAAGTTTTTGTATCAAAACCATGATTAAGTAATTTTTCAATCATGGCCCTGTAAGGGTAAGTATTATTACTTGAGGAAACGAGTCTTTCATTTAAACTGATATCTACTTGAGAAAACATAGAATGTAAAAATAGATTGACAGGTCCCACTTTACTTTCAGCCGTGAGAGGCTTGCCATCACTTTTTAAAATTTTTACTTTGATATAGTTGAGTCTGTGATAAATCAAGGTATTATTCATCTCCGCTTCCAGAAACATATTGAACTCTACAGGACTTCCTTCTGATACATTGGCCAGGGGATGAAATTCAACCCACTGACCTCTTTCAATAACAGTTTGCGTTGGAGGTAATGAAAATAAATCCAATTCGGATTTTGTACATTCTGGAGAATCTTTTAACAGAAAAGCCATTACGAGTCAAAAATGTCGCGTCGTTGCGCTTTCCTGGCTTTAGATGAAATGAAGCATTTCGAGGTTTTGCGTTTCCTTTTAAACCTTCCGCGACCGATCATCTCCTCTGTTTTCTGAGCTGCTTTTTTGGCTAATTTTTTTCCAGCTTCCTTAGATCTTGTTTTCAGAGATGCTTTAAACTTTTCGCCTGATAACACATCGTTTGCAACCATAGTTCCAGTCCGTAAAGCTTCTTTGCCAACAGTTTTAGCTCCACTAATCAAAAAAGGCATAGCGCTACGAAATAGTTTTGCAAAAAATCCTCCAATACCATATCCTTTCTGTAAAATAGTTCCTCGATAATAAGGTAGTCCGTTTCCGGCTTGTTCTTCATAATAATCTTCAAATTTTTTCGTGCAACACGTGTAAGGCTTCAACATTTTGATGCTTCTACTTTTGAGTATAAAATCAAAATGAAATCACTTTTAAAATGGGTGCTTCTTTTATAGAATTTGTCTCAGACGAAAATGCAATACAAGATAAACTTTTCCTCTCTCAAACGGTACTAAATCTCCAGAATGAAGTCTTATATCAATATGTATAGTCTGAAAGTGTTGTCTGATGACTGGTAAGTAAAAGGGTCTGGGATAATGAGCGTTTATGATATCACCATCATTTCCTTCTACGGTGACAATTTTTAATAATGGAGCTTGCACATCTCCTACGATTTGAGGCTCTACTAGATCACAATACACATACATAACAGGAAAAGAGACTTTTGGATCGGCTACGAAAGGACTTTGTACAATTTCTCTGTAAATACCGGGTTCGAATCCTAAAAGCTCAGCTAATCCTTCATGAAGAATAACTTTAGAATGTTCGTCTGTCTTAATTGTCACTTTTTTCGTGACAGGATGATAATTAAATTCAATTTTATTTTCATGCGATGGTATTTTTCAAAGCTTTTAATAAATCTGGTACCTTTTCATAACATCCTGGAGGAACTCTTCTACCTTCCCATATTCCATCGCCCAAATCAAATCCAAATAAATTGTTGTCTTTTCGAACGTTATACCAGGAATGCGGGTAAATAAAGTCCACAAGGGATAATTCCCACTCACCATTTAAATCGACCGGAGAAGGAAGCTGAGTGGTAAATTGCGATATTTTATTTTCCGGGAAAAAGTGTGTAGAGCTATCGCTTATCAGTGTAACAAAGAAAGACATTTTTCGTTCAAATGAAAGGTAGGAAGAATGTATGGGCTTTTTATATCATTCTAACGTCTTCAACCCAAGCATTGAAACTTTCAGGGTACCCTTGAAATTTCACAAAATATTCAACTTTACCGCGAGATTTCCTTTTTTTCAAACTTTTTTCTACTGGATAATAACCAGAGTCAGAAACCTTTTGAAGTTCTTGCTTATAAAAAGTCCCTTGTATAACTTCTCCTGCTAAATCTTTTAGCTTATAGACAACAGGAATCCGGCGAATAATTTTATGAATTGTAAAAATTTCTCTTGTCCAGTTTTGTTCGTATCCTTTTTCGAAGAGCATTTTTTCTCGGCTGATGCGAACCGTGTCCCCCACTTCTAAATCTGATCTGACTTGTTTCCGTGTCGTTTGTTGACCGTATAGCGTTTTCCAGATTTTCTCTTGATTCTGTAATGTAACCGATGCGGGTTCTGTCTTAATACTGCGATGCCAAGTATTATTATAACTATGGATTAATTTGCTTATAACATCAATATACTTACGCGTATTCATTTCAGTGAAGTATTTCCACATCTTAGTTTTAAGAGTACGATTAAACCGCTCAACGACAGAGGCTTTTGTTGCATTATGTGTCGTGAAAAAGCGTACATTTTTCCGTTTTAAAAAGTCTTGAACATATTTATTGGTAAATTCTTTCCCAGCATCTGTTTGTAAAGATCTCGGTATGCGTTCCGAAAATATTTTTTCGAAAGCGGATATGATTGAAGTAGATTTTTTGTCTTTAAGGGGAATTGCCCAAGCAAATTTGGAAAGGATATCTATACAGGTTAGTAAATATTTATACCCATCGTTAAAAGAGGCTAATGATTGCATATCTACTAAATCAGACTGAAATTGCTCGTTTAAGCTTCCTACGATCACTCTGTTCCTGGGGAATTTGTGTCTCACGGGTTTGTGTAATGTATAAGAATCCTTGCTTTGCAGCCATTTCTGGATGTCTTTCGTTTTCACGCGACCTTTTAAAGCATGATGTAAAGCAGTAATACCACCAAAACTGGCAGGGACTTGAGGATCTCGATAAGTCTGAGATAGAATCGCTTCCATTACAGCAGCTGTTATGATCTAACCGCACACTAACATATATATATATATATATATATTTCAAAATTATAATTCTGTGTTAAATTTAAAATTTAGAACATCTACTTCGAATTCATAAAACATCTCTATCTAACACATTAAACCAATCATAAATTAAAGCATGTGAAGATAAAAAAACTATTTATAATGAATTTAAACCAGACTGAAAAGAAAAATAGAGTAAACGTAACTTCTCAAAGGCTAAGTAATGAATGATACATTTTAAAAAACAAAAACAACTTTTATTCATCATCAGTGCTTTCTAAAGATTCAAACAAAGTTTTTCCGTCTTTAACATAAACATTTTCAATCTTTTTGTACAAATCACTAAAGTTAATACACTGGAAAAAATCATAATCAAAAATGAGTTTAACAAAATTAGTGTTATTAATATTTTCTTCGACGAAGTCCTTAGCCAATGCTTTCCAATTAATGGTGTAAAATGCTTGATCAAAGTACTTTTTAAAATTTTCTACAGATTTCAAATTTAAGCAAGTATGCATAAACATTGATTCATATCCTATTTGACAAGCAAAACATTTAAAAAGTTCAGAAATAGCGTTACAAATAGACTTACTTATACATTCACATAAAGAATCCTCAAGTTCTTGAAATCCGTGCGGTCTGTCCGGATCACCTGAAAAACCACTTTCGGTATATGAATATTCATGAATTTGTCTTTTCGTAAAATAATCCATAGTTTGGGATATAAGACTTTCTCTCACCAGAACGCTTATCGCATCACTTTCTGTATCAAGTTTCTGTAGCTGATCTTTCTTCATTAAAACACGTTCTGGAACAAACTGAAAACTGTAATCCTTTTTCTGAAATAGTCTCTGTAGGGATATGATTATTTCACCATTCACATTTTGTTTTGAAACACACAGATCGTTTTTAACAAAAAATATATCATCAGTCGATTCAAAGGTAGCAAAAGTGTTTAAATGAGTACATAATTCTTTCCATACTAATGGGCATAAGCGAAACTCCATCTTTCGTCGGATACAAAAAACCTTGATCATTCGTACCATAACGACGAATATGAACACGAGTATGACCCAAGAAGCACGAAACGATGACAAAATTTTGATCTCCTAGATGAAACATATTTGGAGGAAGGGAATTCACTGTTAACTGAGGTCCTTCAGAATTCAGGTGTGTATCCACTGGCAATAGCTTGTCAGATGTCATTTCCTATAAAATAATTAAAAAACCAAGTAAGGAAACTGATATAGCAACAAATAATTAAATTTGTGTGCCTTAAAACTTATATTAACATTATGCTTACCTTCTGATCTTTCATGACTTTTTTAGGTTGACTGTGATCCTCATCAAACTTTCTTTTACCAGGTAATAGCAGCTTTCGGAAGTCAGGCTGACTCGAACACCTTTTCGTTCTTTTTGACGAGGTATTCCATGAGTCCAAAGTTCATTTGTTGGGGAGCTTAAAATTAGTAAAGAATTATTCACCAGTTCTAGTCTATAATCCTGAAATTGTTGCCTCTTGAATACTATAGTCCGCGTTTCACCCAAACTCAGGGAACATACAGGATGATTACTATCCAAAGATGGTTCATTGTCCTTATGTTGTCCAATGCAAGAATTACCATCTTTGTATCGGTTGATAAGTACAAAATTAAAATTCGCACCACTCAAATGTTCGACTAAAGACTTGATTTCAAACAGTAGAGGGGTCCATGGCTGACATGAAATACTCATACCTGAAAACGTGTATGTAAGTCCTTGATCTCCAAAAGCAGCAATTTCTCGGGGAATCGGAAAAGATTTTCCTTTAGCACGTATTTGAGAATTCTCTTTAGGTAAATAAACAATATCTTTTTCTAACTGTTTTAATACCTCATCGGGTGATTGTAAAACACCTTCACAAAGTTTGATATTAAGACCATTATCCATACTGCACGGCGTAAGGTTCAAACAAAAAAAAGTCTAAAGAAAAATAAGCGTGCTATCAACTCAAGAAACTTTTAGAGAACTGCTCTTCGGGGTAGTAATCAATTGTACCTCATGTTGGAACTCTTTATTTGGTCTTATCGCGGATAGGCTAATAGGTGATGACGTCTTTTCTTTTTTAGAGTAAGCTGATTGGTTAATAGGTATGCGAACTTTCACTTTGGCGGATGCGTACAAAAAGTAGAAAAGGGTGAAAAAGCAAACATCATCCTGTATTTTAAATTTAAAAAAAAAAAAAAAAGTGGGAGAGGGAAGGGATAGCATCTTTCTCCCAGCCAAGGTAACAAATGTACTTAATCAAAATTATATAATACAATATTTACCAATTACATCCTGTAAACAGAAAAATTAATAAATTAAATAAAAATTTACTCATCTCAGAGAGTGCAATTCTTTCTTCATCAACCAAGAAAGAAAATTGCTTACCTCATCACGGACGAACTTTAAATGACGTCACAAAATTTTATTTGGCTGTTATACTAATAATTGATCTCTGGTGTTAGAAGAAATTTTATAATGACCCCAAGGTAACGTATGGATACCATCTTCCATAATGAAGCGTTTAGCATCTGAATATGACAAAGCTAGCTTGTTTTGGCACACAGAATAAACATTATGGTGTTTTGATCTAATCATGTTCATGGTAGCAAACATAGACTCTTTCCCAAATAGACAATCTCTATAATTTTGAAAGCTGATTTTACTATTGACAGTTTGTTTTTTAATTCCTTTTAGCCTTTTCACTTCATCAGTCTCATCTTGAATTTTGTAACTATACATTTTTGATTTAAGACCTAAAAACTCGATCATAAACTTCCCGTGATTTTCATCCTTCATTTTTTCCAGGCACTTTCTTATTAACTCTCGGAAGTCCAAAAATATTATTTTCGGGATAATCTGATGTATCATAAAAAGAAATACTTTCCTTTAAGTCTTCATAATAGTCCTCTGTCCTTATTTCATATATTAAAGAATCTGTGTCAGTATACAGTAGCGTTATATTATCTCCATACTTCTTCTTCATTTGATTATAATGGAAATCATTCATAAGCGTCTTGGACAGATCTAATATTGACATTCCAATACAAATTGGTTTGTTAAAAGTTAATTTTGTTTTCTTCATGTGAAATGCTGCAAGATTAGAGGAGAAAATTGTCCTGTATTTGAAATTTGGAGCAGACACAAGTTTTTTTCTGCTGTTTTACCATTACTGCACAGTTTAATATCTACTCTTTTCCGGATATTCTCAATTGTTTTTCCAAATATTGCGTTGTTCATGAGTTTAAAGAAGTCTTTTTCAAAACTATTTCGTGCTTTGGAACGCAGATCTGTATTAAGGTTTATGTAAGGTTTCAGCCACTCCGATTGTTCAAATTTTAGAACTCTGTGAATTTTCTTTAAAACCATACCTAAAGCTATGTATTGTTTAAGGGCTTTGAAATGAAGCACATATCTTATTTTGGGTTCTAAGGTTAAAACCAAACGCTTTTCCCTAGAATCTGGGGGCACGATATTTACAGGTGCTAAAGGAAGATCAGAGTGTGCGTCATGAATATCCTCCGGATAATCTAAATCCACTTCGAGGATATATCCTTCACTTGAATCATTAGGAATAGAATTAATATCTGTTATAGTACACCACTGGTAATTTTTTAGAGGTAATTTCTGGCTCATGGCCCAACCGTATAAGTTATTTGCGTCCAAATATACTAAAAATAGCGATTCTTTTTTATCATCATGTTCATTCATATATTTATGGTTGGCTCTAGAATAGCGTTTAGAGCATTGAGATACGCCACCTCTTATCCCTTGCTCAATAAAAAGGAGCATGTCATAATCAACAAATAACTCAATTTCGACTTGAGTGCATTTAAGCATTGCATCCCAAGATAGACCTGGTGCCGTAAAATACCATGCAGGGTCTAATTCATAAGTTTTCAAACAAAGTGATCTGAATTGTTCAAAAACATCGCATAGTAAGAGTACATCAGTTTTAACGTACAAATCGGAGTATTCTCCCATGTTTTCTATATCGAAAGTATTCCAGACGTTTTTCGCATGTTCATAGTCGTTTTCTGTTACATGCTGCTCATTTAAAAGATTAAAAAATTTTTCTCTTGGTGGTAGAAATTTGTCTTCAAATTTCTGCATATCATCCATATAGTCATATGGGTAAATCCCTTTCCTAAGAAGTAAATTAACTTTGTCTTCCTTAAAATTCCTCCTTATATGTGTAAACATTTCATCTGTTAAATTATTCACTAGCGACTCAAGACTCGCCGGCATAAATCTGAATGTATCAATAAAAGTTAAACTTAGTTTCTCAGTCACTTTCTTCGAAAAAGAAATGTATCTTTCTTCGTTATTAGGGATTAACCGTATGAGGGCATCATCAAACGCTAACTCTCTAATGAAAAGATGAGCGTCGTAACCAGAGAGATTATGAAAAAAAAAAAACAGGTATAAAAGTTGGTAGCTGAAGTTTTAAATTGCATGATTGGTGAGCTGGTCCTCTATATTTACCGGTTATATGATCATGATCACAGACTTTAGGATCAGAAGCTATAGTAAAACGTTTTTTGCATAAATAACATTTGTTTGCTCTTTTATGTAGTTCTTGCGTCATAGAATCCAAAGGAGTCATCGGCTTTGGGTTGTTATATATATTTTCTATAAGTTTCGCTTCTCTTCTCAAGCAATCTAGAAATTTTTTAGGAGCGTCCAAACCTCTGTAAATTACTGGCGGTTTCTGGAATCGATTATCTTTGCATGCAACATAATAGGAAAAACTTACTGCAATATGTTTTTGTATAACATTCGTAAACGAAGTGCTTTGATTCGGTTGACATGTATCAACCTTTTGAACGATGCATTCAAAATCTGCATAAATAACAAAAGGAATGTGCAAGGAATGCTTAATATTTTTAAAGGTTAACCACTTTTCATTTTTACTTGGCATGATGACTTTACACGGTTTTTTAAGACTACACAATTCCTCATGTCTTGCAAGCGCATTCTCATTGCGAAAGAAGAGCAAACAGCGTCTACAAATAAATTTACGTCCTTTATTTTTTGAAAGTTGGCCTGATACTAATCTAGAAAGGTTTCTGATTAAACAATAGTGAGCTCTCTCTATCTCCAGATTTAAAAAAAAGTAAATCGATATGTTTTTTCTTTCGGATTGTTCGTAATAACTAAAGGATAAACAATTAAATCTTTATTAAATGAATATACGTTGATACTTACAGCGTTTTGCCTTTCAAATATTTTAACATCTTCTGGCTTAGTAGGAAAACTGATACCTGAAAAATTATAATAGTTTTTAAAAGGTATATAATGGCATACTCTATGGGGATTGCTTGCCACGGGATGCAAACCTGAAATCACAGCCCAGCGAAAGCACTCTTTATCAAAATTTCTAACATTGATAATGGCCTTTCTGCTTTGTAAAGCTCGCGGAAGCTCTAAATAAGTAGAACCGCGTAATGGTATATATTTGTTTAGTCTTATCTCTAAATCGATAATTTCTTTCAGGGACCATCCTGAATCCTTTGCTTCCAAGTCTTCACTTTCTTTAATTAACTTATCAATGGCTTCATTAAAAACTACGCTGATATCTGTCGGTAGCAAAATAATTTTATTTTTCGTCTTGAATGCAAAATTTTTTTCAACTATTTCTTCATTAACTTTTCTTTCATATACACAATTAACTTGAAAATTTATTTTTTGACGCTGTTTTCTTTAAGCTTTTCTTCAATTAGATAATAAACTTCATTTCGTTTGGAATTTAGAAATTCCTTCAGTTCTAGGATATTTTCCATATTCCTCAAAGCGTAAGTGAGAAGTCTCTTATTAAAAGCATGCTCTTTTAAGAAATTTTCCTTACTTCTTTTACTTTTTTCTACCTCATTTACATTTGTTATTCTTTCTTCGCTCTTTTACAGTATTTTCAGAAGGTCCATTGGTATTCGTTGTTTCGAACTAATTGAGTATGAGCTTCACTAGTACCTCCTCCTCCTTGCGGATTTTGCTGTAACCTGAGAGCTTACGGCAACTAATGCGACAGCCGCATCTTCAGTTAGATTCATTTTATCATTTTTCATTTCAGTTTCGTAAACAGGCTTTTCACTGTCTGGGCTGACTTTCCGTCTTTTTACTGTTTCAACAATAGCACATTTATCTTCATCATGCTTTCGCTTGTGGCGAGTAAGGGAGTCTAATCGTGTGTAACGTTTCTGACAAAATTCACACGCATGAACATTACCTAAGTGAACGCCATTTGTATGTCGATCAAGGGTACTTTTTCTATTAAATTTCTTCTCACAATATATACACACAAAAGCATAAGGTTTGTGAATGGATGCATAATGTCTTTTATAATTGAAATGAGTAGAAAAACATTTTTTACACTCTTCACAATGATAAGTATTCATAATCTTTCAGTTGATGGTTTAGAATATAACAAAAATAATATAATTACTAGAATATCCACAGGAAAGAAAAAAGCCTAATATCAACACTTTCAACTCACTTTCACTAAGTAGACCACACTTTCTAGATGCTTCTGATGATGGGTGAACTGCTAGGGAAGCCATAAATAGTGTCTTCAGCACAATACATTCAAAGGTATTGGTTTATCACTTCCAGACAATGGCAACCTTCCTTTGTTCTTTATTTTTACACACCTGTTTGAAGGAGGAGAGAACAAAGCACTGTACTATGACGATGTTGTACAAACATCCTTTAAATGGTTTCACCCAGGTAGACCGAATTCCGAATGTAATCCTGTCTCTTTCAAACGATAGGACAAATCCTGTTGCAACAAGGCCTCCATTGTTAACTATTCTAATTTCATCTCCAAGGCCCCCATATGGTACAAGAGAAAGGACGTTTTCACTGGGGTCGGAATGTGAACACCTTTGTTATTCAAGTCCCATATCGTCATGAACCGCACCTTTTAAACATTTTTAACCACTGATAGCCTTCATGACGTCACAAAGGGCTACGTGCACAATTTCAACAGTTTCTATTTTCCCTGGGGCGGGGTAAGAGTTTCTTTCCCA